TAGAAAGTCCTCCCTAGGTTTTCTAGGGAAAAATGTAGGGGGAGGCTCAGAGAGCTCTTTCTGTTTCTGACATTTTCTCAAATTTCCTTCAGATGAAAATATTTTGGAGTGGTGCATCCTGAATACCAACACTACTATTTTCTCCTTTATGACAATATGTATAGAATTATTTACTTTTGCAGTGTCTGATTTCTTTTTTTTTTTTTTTTTTTTTTTGGTTTCAGCTAAAACCCTCCCTTAGGTTTTCTGATACATCCTTACATCTTTTTAAAAAAATGTCCATTTTGAGGGACTGCAGGAAGTACAGTGGTTAAGGTGCTGGATACCCATGTAGTTGACTGCAGTTAAAGTCCTGAATCCAGTAGCTTGAAATTCATGCCAGGTGCATGTGTGTACGTGCTCCAAATCCCAAGAGGAAAATGGAGGAGAAGGAATCATAGCATGTTCATCTCCCTGGGATATGATTTCTTGCTTTCTGTCTCTCTGGCGAGTGTACATGCCCTATAGCGAAAATCTGTCAAAAAAATTCCATTTTGTTTATTTGAAGTAAATTAATATACTAGCTGTCTTTTTTTTTTTTTTTTTGTATATCAAAGTACCATAAACATAGCAGTTTAAAACGGCATCTATTTGAGCCCAGCAGTTAGCGTAATGGCTATGTCGCTGGACTCCCGTGTTGTCAACTGTGGTTTGAGTCCCGGACCCAGTGGCTTATAATCATGCCAGGCGTGTGTGTGTGCATGCCCAAGATCCCTCCCAAGAGGAGAAGGGATTGCGGCATGGCCATCCCCCCTGGGGGTGGTGATTTCTAGCTTTCTGTCTCTCTGTATCTCTCTGTCTTTCTTAGGAGCACACATCCCCTATAGCAAAAAGCTCTTTATAAAACAAACAAACAGCATTCATTTACTAGGTCACAGTTCTATAGGTCAGAAGTCCAAATGAGATTTCCCAGATTGTCTGCTCAGGGTCTCACAATGAAACAAAATCAAGGTGATGGGAAGATATATTCTCATTTGGAGCTCAGTGTTCTGCTCTAAGCTCATTTAGATAGCTGGTAGAATTCAGTTCCTTGCAGTTGTGGAACTTAGGTCACCATTTCCTTGCTGGCTGTTACCTAGGAGCATCTTCAGATCCTAGAGTCTGCCTGCATTCAGAGCAGGCAGCAAGGAGTATTATTTGTGCCAAACCCCTTTAACATTTGAAAATTTCTGACTTTAGGAAGAGGCCAGTTCTTTTCACAAGTTACCCAATAAAGGCTAAGCCATCTGCATAATCGCCTGTATTGTAGTCAATTGTGTCACATAACTAATACTCACAGGAATAAAATCTATTATATTCAAAGTCCGGGGAATTTTGCAGGCTTGGAATCCTTGAGGTCCACCTTAGAATTCTGCCTACCACCACAGAGATTTAGCAATTATCAATGAGTTCTAATTAAGGGAAACTTCTCAAGAATAAAGTTCTCAATACGTAAAGTTTTATTTTACAGGAAAAAAATGTATTATTTATTTATTTATTTATTTTTAATTTGCTAAGGAACACATGCATTTGCCAGAGAAACAGAGCAAGCAGTGTGTTCAACCACAGTCCCTTCTCTTCCGTTTCTCCATCCTGTAGTGATTTTACTCATGTATGTACATGCACCTGTCAAGTTTTTCAAGGCACTGAGGCCAGGATTTAAACAATAGAGTAGTCCATGTGGGATCCAGCCTCCTTAGCCAGCAGACCATTATTGTTTTAATATGTATGTTGAAATCCCTAGTTCAAAAAGCTAAAATCCAAAATGCCACCAAATCTGAAACTTTTTAATCAGAGTAGAAAATTCTACATTTGACCTCATCTGCTAGGTCACAGTCAAAATAAAATATGGCATGAAATTACCTTGAGGAGTGTAGATAAGTTGTAAATGAAACATAAATGAATTTTGTGTTTAGACTTGGGTCCCATGCCCTAGATATCTCATCATGTATACTCAAATATTTAAAACAAACAAACAAACAAACAAACAAAAAAACTGAAACCCTATATACTTTTGGTCCCAACCACTTTGGATAATGGATATTCAACCTTTATTCACTTAGATATTTTGAACTCTCATGAATATGTATTTACTGGTATAAAAATAATTCATTTGGTTTAAAATTTAACATTGTATTGCTAAGATTTCAAATTTAATTAATGGAAGAAGATGGGAAAGAGGAGAGTGCATTCTCTTTTTTAATTACAAAAAAAGAGCTCTGCTTCAGAATATATTAAACTAAGATGACGATCTTTCTCCCTTTGCCTTCTACTGCATTCTCGTCATCTTTGACTGGATGGGACTTACTCAGAGTAGGGTCTTGAGATCTCATTCTCCCTACCACCCACTTTAGAAAGGATTACTAATTAAACTCCCTTAAGGTAACAGATTTTACTGACTTAATCTTTGCAGGTGGTTACTGTTTCCCAGTGTTGCCTAGAAATATAATATGTCTGGGATGAGAATACAAACCTTTACCCTGATTCTGTTATGTTTTTAACCATCTCCAGTTTATGGCCGGGCATTTGATTTTATTCAAGGAGGCAGTTAATGAGAATATTTGTATGAGGCCCATGTATCTTTCTTTGAAGTTTATTTCAGTCACAGTATGTATTCATTGAAGAAAAAACAATGTGTGTGTGATATATTTTGTGCCACTAAATACTTTGTGAGAAAAGCCAGTGCTTCCAAACGTTTGTTTTTGTCAGAAATAGACCCTTAGACAAATGGCTTGACTTTATCACGTTTCCTACCTCAATTCTCAAACACAAAATGTTTACCTTTCCTCCCTAAGAGCTTGTTGAGGTATCTAGTCATCTTTGAACAGCCAAACCAAATGGCTCCCTCAAATTATTTCTTGGTCTTCCTAAGGCAATGGATTTTAAGATATTATTTATCCAATTTAAGAACTCAGAGATAATGGATGACTAATCCTAAAAACACATCCAATAATCTATAGCAGTTGATGTTAGCTAGACATTTATATAGGAGGCTAGCGTGTTTCTTTCTTGAATGCACAGTACTTTTTCATTGTCTACATCACTTAAGGTACTGTCCCAAGGGGCCAGGAAAGGCAGATGCTGAGGGCTTCCTTCTCTAGCCAAATGATGATGAAGGGAAGGATTTGCTCTAGAAACCTAAACAGAGTTCACGTCTAAGTTCTGCTGTCCTCTCCAAGTTGAACAAGGTCTGTGATCCCTTCTTGTTCTAATCTTACTATAGTTTAGGACTTCATCCTTTCCACTCCTTCCCTCTATGGTAAAGAGGCTGGGAGGACCTTCCCCCCCCCCCTTTTTTGGAGAGGTTTTTGCTATAGGGGGCATGCGCTGGCTGGCCAGACAACCAGACAGAGAGAGACAGAGAGACAGAAAGCGAGAAAGCACCCCCCAGGGGGGACAGCCACGCTGCAATCCCTTCTCCTCCCTTTCCTCCATTCTCCTCTCGGGATCTTGGGCACACACGCACATGCGCCGGGCGTGAGTTTAAACCACTGGGTCCAGGACTTGGACCGCGGTCGACTACATGGGAGTCCAGAGACGTAGCCATTACTCTAACTGCTGGTCCCAGGCTGGGAGGTCTTTAGCCAAAGGAGCAGATAAGCAGGGGTGCAGTGGCGACCTGCGGTGCAGAGAGGCGCGGACCCCTAGCAGAAACGCAGGGAATGCGGCAGGGCCCGCCAGTCGAGGCCAGAACCGAGCCAGGAGGCCCCTGCCGCCTGCGGTTGGTTGCCTGGACACCGGGTAACGGACCTCCAGGGCCTCGGCCGCAGGCCTCGCGGAGCCAGCGGGGAGCGCAGGCGCGGCGCGGAGAGACCGGCGGAGCGGGTGAGTCGAGGCGCTTGTCCCAGCGGCCCGGGATGCTGCCCTCCTGCGCGGCTCCCGCGGGCAGCACCCAGACGCGGTTCCCCACTCCGCCCCGCCGGGGTTGGAGTCCGTGGGAGCCCGAAGCCTGGTTCGTACCGGTCCCGGAGGCGGCGGGGAGGCGGGTGCTCCGCGAGTTGAGGACAATCCCTATGACCAGAGGAGGGGACGCACAGGCTCCCTCCACTGGCGGCCCCATTGTACTTCTGTTGTCTAGAACTGGATCCCTCAGATCTAAATAATTGTTTCCACTTTTATTTTGCTTGTAAGGACGCCTTGTGGTGGTTCCTATATTATTCTTTTGAACTGTACCGATTTCTTCTGACGTGTCACTTTTTCAAGGGTCCTCTGAATCAACTCAGGTACTGAGCAGCTTCCTGAAGAGACCGGGAATTTTGTACTTCTTTACTTTCTCTAAAGCACTCCAAATGAAATGATCCACTCCAGCACCTTCGTACTACGCATGAAAAAAGGGATGCTCTGGGTTGATTATGACTTGACCAAAGTTGGACCCAGTGAGGATCAGACACGGAAATCTAGGGGTCTCCTCTCTCCCAGTTCAAAGCATTTTCTATTAATTCTTTCTGCTATTCATTAGCTGTTTGATAGATGTTTGTAAATTGCCTTAATAGCTATCCACTCCTACTTATCATTGGCTGATCCATTACATATTTTTCTGGGCTTCTTGAATCAAATGCAGCATTTTTTTTTTTTTTTTGAGAGAGAGATTTTCACTATAGGGCGACAGACAGAGACATAGAAACAGAAAGCGAGAAATCACCCCCCAGGGGGGATGGTCACGCCGCAATCCCTTCTCCTCCATTCTCCTCTAGGGATCTTGGGCACGCACGCACACGCGCCCAGCGTGAGTTTTCAACCACCGGGTCTGGGAAGGGAACGGCATCGACTCCATGGGAGTTCAGCAACACAGCCATTATGCTAACTGCTGGTTCCCCAAATGCAGCATTCTTGACATCTCTCCTCTCCTCCTTCTTCTCCCCCAAATTGTTTCTTGGTCTTGCTATGGCAATAGATTTTAGGATACTATTTACTGAATTTAAAAATTAAGAGACAAATAGATGATTAATCACAAGACACATCCAACAATCGATTAGATTTTCAGCTGTGCAGTTTATGTTAAATTATTATCTAAACATTTATATATGAGGCTAGGATGTTTCTTTCTTGAATATATAATACTTCCTTTTTTCTTAAAGCTTTATTATGAACTATATCTAACTAATTTCCAGAACTATCAAAAATATGAAGTCAATCTATTAGCCTTGAGTGGGTCCCCTTGTATTGGTAGCCTCCAGAATTCTTATCCACAAAACAGCCTTCTCTTTTTTTTGCTCCCACCTCAGATGCAGCACAACTTTAGACTCAGCTAACCTGTCACGACATCCTCAGAGATTTTGTTTTTTAATTTTTTTTGGAGAAATTTTCACTATAGGGCTCGTGCGCTTGCCAGAAAGACAGAGACAGAGAGACAGAAAGCGAGAAATTATTCCCCCAGGGGGATAGTCACGCCACAATCCCTTCTCCTCTGTTCTCCTCTCGGGATCTTGGTCACGCACACACCCGCACCCAGCATGAGTTTTAAGCTACTGGGTCCGGGACGCAAACCACGGTCGACTACATGGGAGTCCAGCGACATAGCCATTATACTAACTGCTAGTCCCTCTTTTGTTCTTTATAGTAGTGAATGATATATGTATATACTCTTCTTTCTGCTTCCCTTTGCATATAGACCTCACTCTTCATTCTGATGGGTTATTCGACCAGGCTAAACACATGAAGTCCAAAAACCCTGGACTCATACATTCTCAACCTTGCACCTAAAATGAAAACCTAGAAACACTGTGGATGGATTGTTCTTGGCCCATTTGGTTCACGTGCCTGTCCCTAGAGCACTTCTTTTAGAGACAAATCTTCTATGATTGACAACAATCTGTCAAACCAAAAGAAAGGAGTCCTCTTTATTTTAAAGGAAAGAGTTTCTGGAAACAAACAAAACCCAAACTGTTTATCTACCCAGAGTTTATCTAGGCATTAGACTAAAGGTTAATGAGAATAGTCACTGCTGAAAACACTAGACCCTGGAGTCCAGACAATTGGAAAGGAAAAAGTTATGATAAGGAAAAAGTAGAGTGATTAAGTGTAATACTTCAAGTAGTTGAAAATTTGTACTGTGATAGGTAATGATGTAGGGGGATAACTTGTTCAATTATTTTGTAAGCATTTCAGATCTATACCTGGTGAAAAAAATAATACATCTGCAAGCAGATGGTTTGCATATGTGAGTCCTAATGGTCATGGAATCCTTATCTCTTTTTTCTGTACAGTAATAGCATGAATAAATATATATATGCATTTTAAGTTTTATATTGACCTTTTAGACTTAGTTACAATACTGTGGAAAATAAACAGGGACCACTCAAATGAGGAAAAGCAGAAGCTATTTATTCAGAGCTTGCAATGGCAAGGGAATCAACCACCATCTCTTGCACTGGCCAGAGACTCAGAGGCAGACAATGGAGTGGAAAAGTTTTATAGAGAAACAAAAGGGAAGATTTTGGGTGTGTTTTCATTAAGATTCATTGACATGGGGAAGTAGGAGGAGGGTTACCTAGAGAACAGGCATCCTATATGATTAGTTTGGAGTTTGTTTGGTTTTCTGTGGTTGGTCTTGACTTGGAATTCGGGGTGAAAATTAGGCAAGCTGGTAGTCATTGACTACTCCAGGCTAATTACTGTAGAATTTTTGGTTTGGTTTTCTGGACTGGGTGCTGCAAAGGTTATGGATTAGAGTTCTATTTTCTATATTTCATGCAGAACCTGGATGATATCTATACATTAAGTCTCTTAGTGTTCATAAATATTAAATAAGGTAAATTTAAACTTACCATCTTATTATAAAACTCAAATTTGGATAGGTTAAGTATTGTATTTGTGAGCATGTAATTTGTTAATGAATCCTACTTCACTGAATTTAAGTCATTATCGTTTATTGAATGCTTATTATATCCTGGCCACTGGACTAAACAGTCTCCATATATTATTTTAATCCTCACAATCACACAGTGAGAAATTACTGTTTTCACTCTTTTCCAGAGAAAAAGACTGAAGTTCAAATACATTTAACTATCTTTCCTAAGGTCATATAGCTGGTAAGAGGGCCCAACTGGAATTGAATCCTACCTCTAACTGATTTCAAATCTATGCCCTTTGGTACTTTGTTAAACTGTCTGGTCATCTCCTACTTTCCTCACTATATCAGGTGATTGATGTTAGCTTATGTCTATGATTATAGCCATCTAGTCTCTTTTTCTTGTAGGATGTTTATGTGAACAAAGGTAGTGAGAAGACATTTCTGTGTGAAATAAAGGGATTCAATATGCCTTTAGATACTGGAAAAAATTTGGGTTTCCCACAAACCAGTGAAATGGATGAGATTGGCATGTTAAATCAGATATCAAAGATGAAAGAGTGAAAAAATGGTTGAAGAAAGTGGAAGAACACATTTAAGAAGATAGAGTTTGAATAGAAATCAGTTCTTTGTGCTCACTTCAACAGCACATATACTAAAATTGGAACCATGCAGAGAAGATTAGCATGGCTCCTGCACAAGGATGACATACAAATTTCTGAAGTGTTTAATTTTTTTCTCCAGATCAGCTCTTCAGGAGGTTCTGAAGGAAGTGCTATACCAGGAAAACTAAAAAGTCAGACAGATGGATATAAAAGAACAACAACAACAAAAAAAAAAAAAATCAAGAAAATGGCTCACTTAATGATAGAAACATGTCCGGAAATCTCAATAGTAACATTGAATGTTAATAGATTAAATTCTTCATTCAAGAGACACAAACTGGCTGAATAGATAAAAAAGAAACCCTCTATCTGTTGCCTACAAGAAACACAATTTATAAATAAAGATATACATAGACTAAAAGTGAAGGGCTGGAAAAAGATACTTTATGCAAATGAAATAAAAAAAGGGCTGGAGCTGTTATACTGATTTCAGACAACATATGCTTTAAGACAAAAACTGTAAGAAGAGGCAAAGAAGGGTGTTATATAGTAGTAAATGGGCTAATTCATCAAGAAGACATAACACCGATATCTATGCACCTACTCAGGAGCACCTAAATACATGAAAGAAAGACTGCTAGAGCTAAAAGGAGAGATAGGTTCTAATACACTATAATTGTTAGGGATCTCAGGACCTCATTTTCTCCTTTAGAAAGATCTTCTAAACAAGAAATAAGCAGAGAGATACAGGACCTAAACGATACTATAAAAAAAAATAGGCTTGACAGACATCTCCAGAACTTCCGACTCTGAGACCACAAAATATACATTTTTCTCACCCTCCACATGGAACCTTTCCAAAGATTGACCATATGATAGACACAAATCAAGACTTTACAGATTCAAAGGCATAGAAAATATATCCAGCATCTTCTCTGACCATGATGGAATTAAACTTGATATTAATTTCAAGAAAAATCCTTGAAAATACACAAATACATGGAAACTAAACAACCTACTTCTGAACAGCTTCTTCTTAACTACCAAAGAAATTAAATCTGAAATCAAAAACTTTATAGAAACAAATGATAACGAGTCTGTGACTTTCCATAAGCTATGGGGCAACACAAAAGCAGTCATAAGAGGGAAATTCATAGCAATTAGTACATATAAGAAAAAGATGGAAACATACCAACAGACAACCTCCTGAAGAGCTGGTCTGGAGAAAAGTATGAAATGCATGTCATCTTTGTGCAGGGGCCATGCTAATCTTCCCTGTATGGTTCCAATTTTAGTATATGTGCTGCTGAAGTAAACTAGCAAACAAATAAACATCCTTTCTGCATCTACATTATTTCTTCTTGTCTAGCTCTTTCTCATACCTGGTTTAATTTTAGAATGAGGAGTGTATGCATGCTTCTTCCCCCTGTCCATTCAATCTTGAACATTTTGGTGCCTAAATTCTCTTCTGCCCTATATGGGAAATGTTTGTGTTGTGACCATCCATGACCTATAGTCTTTATTTGTTGAAATAGATGGTTTTGTTTCCCCATAGTCTTTATTTTACATGACTTTTGGGAAACTCTTCAGGTTCCTGTGCTTCTTTGAGGCGTCTTTCTCTTGTTTTCCTTGACTCCATTCATTTTTAGCTTTATTACAATTTATCTAGAAGTGGATAATGTTAATTTTCCTTGGTTTTATTGTGAAAATTCCTCTTTTTGTTGTTGTGTGATCTCATCCAACTACCAGTTCTACAACAATAATGGCCCAAATGTCTCAAACATCCTTAGGAATATTAATCATGCATGCATCGTCATTAAAAAGCACTCAGATATAAAATGAAATGGCCATCTTTCTTCTGCCCCACCTGTTTTTCCTCACATTGTCCTTCCTGATTTAGGGATATTTATTCCTCCATGCCAAAACTTGGGAGCCATTCTAGGTCACTGTACACATCTAATGTACTCACCACATTTAATTCTCAATAATTCATGATATTTCTACTTCTTAAATGCCATTGGTTCTTTTTCTTTCCCTTTTCCATTGCAAATTATTTTTTTCTGATTTATTCAGTAGTCTTCTCAATTATTTTTTGCCTCTAATCTTACTGTCCTCTGATTAACCCTCCACAGCTGGTGCTTGTATTATGTATTGTGACTGTCCACTAATACATTCCTATTAGAGATTAAAAATGATTAGAAAGGAGTCACATTTATTTTTACGTCTTCAGTGAGGCACATAAATATACTGAACAAATTTTTTTTTGGAGAGGTTTATGCTATAGGGCATGTGCATTCACCAGAAAGACAGAGAGACAGAAAGTGAGAAATCACGCCCCGCCCCCCCCGAGGGATGGCCACACCACAATCCCTTCTTCTCCATTCTCCTCTAGTGATCTTGGGCATGTATGCACATGCACCTGGCATGAGTTTAAGCCACCGGGTCCGGGACTTGAACCGCAGTTGACTACATGGAAGTCCAGCAACATAGCCATTACACAAACTCTGCTGGTCCCAGTTTTTGAATGAACAAATGAATGTGGAGTTGAGAAAATACGTATGGAAAATGATGACATGCTATTTACATACTCTAGAATAGCACTGTCCTGAAGACTTTTATGCAACAACACAACTGTACTGTAATGCTGCAGCCACTAATTACATGCAGTTATTGAGTAGTACCTGAAGGTAACAAATGTCACTGAGGAACTTCATTTTTATCTTTTAAATTTAATATGACTAGTAGTGATGGTATAGGACAGCTTCAGAAAATAAACCCCCAAATCGTGGATATTTTTTTACTTAATTAAATGGAATAAACTAAGAACTATTAATTAAGTGGAATAAAACTCAAAGCTATTATTATTTTCTTTTCTGTTCCATCAGTCCTCACCACTTTTCCTCCAGGAAAAAGATATCCTCGTGAATTGTAAAATTTGAAGATGTTCTTTCATAACATAGTTCAACAATTCTGTTTAAATTTTTTTAAATATTTATTATGTATTTAATTTTTATTTATTATTATTTTTTAATATGACTAGAGAGAGAGAGAGAAAGAGAAAGTGAGACAGCAAGCCACCAGGTCTGGGACTCAAACAGTCGTTGGCCATGTGGAAAGTCAACTGCCTTAATCACCATGCCACCTCCTGGCCCCAAGAAATATTTTTGGACACCAAACATTTACCTAGCATTGTCGATTCAAAGAGAAATAAAATATATAATTTTCTGCCTTATAAGATGTAGGAAGAAAATGTCACCTGATAATAGAATTAGGAAATTCGGGGGACTTTTCTGAAGATTGATTGATGCAGTAATAGAAAAATAATTTTAAACCATTTCTTTCCCTCTTCTTCCCTTTTATCCTACATAGATTCTTGATTGGAATTATCAAAATGCCACTGTGATGATGGAAAACATTTCAGACTACTCGTTAAGCTCTTCTGAAGTACGGTGATGATAAACTTTTGCTTATTTCTTCGAGCTACTTAGTTTTCATTATCTCTTCTTTTTATTCTCTATTTTGTATTTGCATGATATCTCAATTGCTTTTTGGTTTAATAATTTCTTTGAATTCTGTAAGACATTGTTACAGATAACCCAATATCATAACCCTCTGGCTCTAAATAATTTCATCAAACTGTGTCATTCAATTGTAAGTGGCTGTTTGTGGTGTGATAGCAAATTTGCATCAGTATGATAGTATTTATAGCCAAGCTAATTTAGATTAGTTACCAAATATTATGCCATGAGATCATGTATAAAATTATATCAGTAGGGTCCAAATATGTAGTATAAAATGTATTTCTCTACCCTCTAATTTGAACATTTCCAAAGAAAACTGCTGTAAGAAGCTCTTGGCATAATTTCTTTGTAATAAATTCTCAATGCTGCTTATTACTCTTGATTTTCTTATTCTCCAGATGGCTACACATTTGCATTCTATTTGTTTGTTATTTCACTAAGCACAGATTTCTTACTGGGTGCCATTATTTATTTATTTTTATTTATAGCTGTGGTTTAATTTTGCAGCAAACAAAAACTGTTTCTCTTAACCGAGAATTTAGGAACAATAGAAAATTAATGGAAAGCTTAATTTTCCAATGTTATTTAATATTTCTTAAGAGCTACACTGTTGAATGAATTGTGATTTCTATATTGAACATTTACAATTCAAATCCCTTAGCATTTGAAACTGCATAATTGCTAGGAAAAACAGAACCCACAAAATATATTACTTGTATTGAGATCTTTGCTACATAATAGTAATTGAAAAAGCATCCAAAGGTTCATACTTTAAAATATTTTAATAATAAAATCATCAGTAAAAGCATTACTTTTTTTCCCATGGCATAATAATAACCTTAGTGACATCCAATTTGATTTTCTTTTTAAAATGTATAGGAAGGTATACCTTCTTATAAAAGGAAAAAAATCACTGCTGCTGAATGGCCAGTCATAGAGTGGGAAGCTATTAAGGTACATTACTGTTAAGAATGAAACATGTCATAAGAAACCACAGCATGTTATTAAATTTTCTCAACTAACAGCTTAAAGCTGCAGTTAGAGGGAAATAAAGCTTCTTTGTCTAATTTCACCCTATTCTTCTTGATTTCCTTATTAGTTTTAGTCTCATATTTTCCATTCCCTTGGATGACTGACTGGGCTCTAGTAAGGAATGTAAGAGAGGGCTCATTGAGTCACCTGTGGGTGATGGTTCAGGTGGCAGGGCAGCAGTGCATTACCTGTTTTCAATTTAGTGTCTTAAGACCTTTAGGAGGAAAAGAAAAAGAGAAAAACATGATTCTTTGCTGAGGTCACATTTAAGGAAGAGTTAGTCTCTCCATTTCTAATAAATTTTGATTTGGTAGCTCGTATGAACTAAAATTCCTTCTTATTTAGCAACATATGCTTTATATTAATTCAGTAGTCTATATTTAAAGGAAGACAATTTAGGGAATCTGGATGAATAAAAATCTGATATACTCTGGAGACTCCATGCCAATGTATGGATATCCTTTTGCAAAAAGCAGAAAAATCAGCACTTGGTAACATTCTTAAGGGAATTTTAGAAGTATCCTTTGTGGGAAAATGCTGAAATCTTCTCAGGTTATCCAACCTTTACATCCTACAAGGTTAAGCAGAATGAAGTGAGATATCTTAGAAGAATGAACAGATCTTGGAGTGTTATTAAAATTTCTAAATTTAAGTGAACAAACAGTACTTTCTTCCTTTCAAATATAACCTCAGTCTTTGACATAACTTATATGTACTGAATTCATGCTGGGAAAACCCATGTTGTATACTGTAAAGATGTACAGTACATGTAGTTAAGAAATATCTTCAGAGTGGTGATAATATTTGTCTTTTTTATAAAAACAAAAATTAAATCTCTAGAAAAATAGTATTTTACCATAGGGAGGGCGCCACCACGTCCCTAGAAAAATAGTATTTTATAGACATTAACATCACATTAATAAATGTGACTGACTTTTCAACATTTAGTTCTTTAGCAGACCATTGATTGAAAAGAGTTCTAAGGTCAGCCCTGTAGTACAGTGGTTAAGGGAGCCAGATACCACATGGCTGACAGTGATTAAAATCCTTGTCCCAGAGGTTTGAAAAACATTCCAGAAAGCATGTTCAAATCCTGATGAAGAAATAGAAGAGAAGAAACTGTGTACCCATGCTTCATTTGGGGGATGCTCTCTCCCTCTTTCTCTTTCTCTGTCTCTGGCAAGTTCACATGCCCTCTGGCAATTAAAAAAAGAAAGAAAGAAAGAAAAAGGAGACAGAGTTGTTTGTTCAAACTTTTAAAAAGAATGATTGGATCAGTGGACAAAGGCATGTGATTTTGCAAAGTATTATCTGAGGTTTCTTTTACTAAGCATCACAAAAATTACTAGATACAAATACTATGGGTGAGCACAATGCTTACCCTGTTGCTAGGTTATTTTTTAAGTAGGTAACTGGTTGTGTTTATTAAAAGAGATTTATTTGTTTTGTTATTGCTTAGGGGCCTACAGTGATAAAATTAAGAAGAGTCTTTATTGGTATGTGTGTCTAGGAGTATTATTGTGTGTGTTGTGTGAAAGAGAGAAAGCGGGACAGAGTTTGCTGAAGGATTAATTCTAAAACTTGAGCTAGAGAACTATATTACTATCTTCTTTTAGTGAAATTTACAGTTGCCTTATAAAAACTTTACTAAAAGTGGTTAGGTTATACAAGCAATATACCTTTACTGGTGTAGAAAGTATGAACCATAGCCCACAAACTGAATTGTGTAAAAAGAACACTGGGACCAGCAGATGGCGTGGTGGTTACGTTGCTGTACTCCAGGTAGTCAACTGCAGTTCAAGGCCTGGACCTGATGTCTTAACTCACGCCACGCATCTGTGCTTGTGTGCCCCAAATCCCAAGACAGAAAGCAAGAAATCACCCCCAAAGGGGGATGGTCATGCCACAATCTCTTCTCCTCCATTCTCCTGCTGTGATTTTGGGCATGCATGTACACTCACCTGGAGTGAGTTTCAAGTTTCAGGTCCAGGATTTAAATCATAGTTGGTCATGTGGAAGTCCAACACCTTAACCACAATGTCACCTGCTGACCCTTTATAGAATAATATTTTAAAAAACATGGTGCTATCTGGGGTTGGGGAAGTTGTAATTACTTGAGAATCTAATTATAAGAGAATGATTCCTAACTAGGCTATTTATATCACTGATAGTAACAAGGTTAATTTGAGGTCATACGTGAAAGTTTACATTAAAATAACTATGTATTTATTTTAATATCCAATATAAAAATACTTATTAAAATGTGTATTGTTACAAGTAGTTTTAAATAATACCATAGGGTTTTTCCTATAAAAATAATTAAGTTTTAAAGTTCAAAACAAAATTAAACTAATTTTGTTCAAAATTATGAATGCTTGTAATTCAGGTATTCTAGAGAAAATGAACATTCTTACTACACAAGAAGTTTCTTCAGCTTGCAATGCAGAGAACTTGCCAAAATACTAGTGGTTGGTTTTCTCTACTTTACTACAACAGTATTAAAAGTGTAATAAATGTATTTCACTTATATAAACTGTATTGTTTTGGTTTTGAGGACAGTGAATCATAATTTGAGTCATCTCCATTATTGTTGCTTTTATTTATCTTTAAACAATTATAATTTTCAAATTATTGGTCAGTACTCCTGATCAGTTAATCAACTTAATAATGCAACCCTCTATTAGGTTAGACCATACTTCGTTAAAGTGTCCAAAGCTACAGTGGTTTAAACCACCTTCCCCCCCCAAAAAAATATCTTTTCCAATCATGTTACAGTGATATATGGATAAGATAACATCCCTTGGTGGGTCTTCCAAGAGTGGTCCAGGATTTCAACTGCTATCATTTAAGCTCTATAATCTGGATTACATGATTTACAAGTTTGCTGTGGAAAGAAAAAAGAAGTTGAAATGAATGGAATTTTTGTAATTAATTAATTTCTTCTGTGTGTGAGATATAGATAGGTAGGTACTCAACAGAGTCCTCATACTGCAGTCCATCCCAGGTCATGGGAGTATGTGTACCATGTGTATAGAAAGACCTCAGTTTTGAATCTGGGACCTTCTCATGGGACCCAGCATTGCAGGGTTGTAGCATTGCAGGATTGTAGCATTGCTGCACCACCACCTGACCCTGCAAATGGAATGTTTTGAAATCAAGATTTATTCCAAATTCCTTTGGGCACCAGTTACATGGTGCTGAAACTGTCTTCAAGAGACATCAACAAATGTGTTTTCTCCTGTGTCCAGGAAGAACACAGTACTGTCTCTATCACAATCCCAAAATATAATTCAGCATAGTTGACATATAAAAGAATGCTTAATCAAAAGTGTTTCATTGTGCATGAATTTCACATTCTGTTTATTGCTGAATAGTTATGCATTGATAAAAAATGGTGTGTAGGAATAAATAAAGCTCCAAATAGGTTCATTATGTTTAGGTTTAAAAGCTATCAGAGGCCTACTTTTATTTTACTCAAGCAGAGTTGTTTTGACATTTTTCAATATTGGGTAAATGCAAAAGGCTAATGTTTTTGGTGGATTAATTCATAGGTGCAGCTATATCTGAAGTAATTAAAATAAATTAATTCAATTTATGGACCAATATTGCTTATGTAGTACCTATATTTATCTCACTTCATAATTATCTAGCATATACTAAACTTGCTGAGAACACGTTTACATTTTATGTGAGAGAGAAAATAATTTTACAAGAAGGCACTTATCTTTTAACACAGAATAGCTGGAAAACAGCATATGTAATCTATCTTTAACAGTAATACATTCTCAAATTTAAGCTAATTTTTGTTAACAAATAGCCTTTCTGTTCGATTTCCTGGCTTGCAAATATTCTAAATCCTCTAGTTAGAATGACTAGTGAGATAAGTGATTT